GTGGCGCCAGGCGGCCAGTTTGGTATTTTGCGCCGGCGGCACGCTGCTCTTCTACCTCTGGTTCGGCATCATCCAGGAGTCGATGTATGTTCGCTTCATTTCGCATCCCAGATGTGTTCGCCGCTTCTGGCCAAGCCCGGTGTGGGTGATATCCTTCTCCCTCTCTCTCTCTTTTAATCATTCGTCTTGCAAATTAGTTACATTTCCCTTCAATACATGGCGGGTATGAGGCTGTACTGATGATCCCCACTCCTACCAGGATGCATAGTCTGGTGCGTGTTTACAGCTAAGGGATGAAACATAGACACTGCATCATAAAATATCACCTTACCACTGCATCTAAACGATGAAAGATAGTTTGCAAAATATCACCTTATACATGACGACTGATTACAGTCCTTCTGGTCTATTGTTATTGCTTCATAGGGTAGTCACCTCGCCGTCCTCTTCCCCAGGTTTGACTCTCAGCGCACTGTGATTTTCATGCACTCGGAGGTCCATAAATCATACGAGTTTCCAGATATGCAGAGGCAGTTTTGTCCCTCCGACTCCCGTTTCGATAATTAATTTTGCAGGGATGCAGCTGTGCAGATAGTGCTTTTTTTCTGATCTTTTTGTTTCAGAACAAAGGGTAAGTACGGTAAAGATGGGAAAGATCGATTCACCTACACCCAGGCACTGGTGTTCGTGCAGTGTGCTGTGAATATGGCATTTGCATATGCACTGAGGGGAAAAAGCAGGGACAACGTGCCCGGGCGGATGTATGCATCGATGGCGATGAGCTACCTGTTGGCAATGATGGCAAGCAATCATGCGCTGCAGTACATCCCATATCCAACACAGGTCAGTGGCTTTGCATTTCCATTATACTGGAAATAGGAGGGCAGGGAGAGGGGAGGCGAAGGCTGGTGGGAAGGAGGGGGAGGGGAGAGAAAGGAGATGGAGTAGGAAAGTTGATAAAATTATGCAAAAATCTAGGGGTCTTGAGATGTAACGATCCTCGCTTATGGAACGTTCGCTCTCCTTGTAAATCGAATTCATGCCTAAGCACAATATTTTACTTTAAAAAAGAGAAAAAATGTAACTAATTTTACTGAAAAAAATGCAACCGATAAGGACGGCATGGAACTGAGCCGCCAGAAGCAGCACAAAGCGGTCCTCACCCAATAAGCACAACGATAGAAGGGGGCCTTTTATCATTTGTAACTGCATCATATAACAAAAGGGGACTCGAATCACAAAGCCGGGCATATACCTTTCTCATTTTCCATTCCTTTATTTTTACTTTCTTATACTTCTACACACTTACCTTCTCTTCATCTTCTGTTTGTCCTGTATTTTTCTTCATTTTCACCTTCTACTTTTTCTACCGTTTTTCTTTCATTTTCCTTTCTACTTTTTACTTTTTCATACACATTAACTTATTTAGTCTCCCATCTTGCTTAATTACCTTTCATAAAATCTTTTACCACAGTCGTCGTACTAACGAGGTCCAATTTTGGTAGACGTAAGAAATGTATGCGACTTAATGGACCGAAACATTTCTTACCTACTTTAATAATTCTTTTCATGTTTTTCATCATTTTTTCGTATATTTTTTCTTTAACCTTAAATATGCATATCAGGTGAGAGCCAAGGGGCAGCTGGATAGGGAGAGGGGCATCAGCCGCCAACTTCATTCCCCGCTCATATCAGCCGCTTCTTCCTTTCGTTGCGGAGAGATGCCAAATTGTAATGTTGAAGGGCAAGCAATATTTTTGGTTTGGATTTTTTTGGCAAATGCTTCATAGTTATTTGTAAACGCATCAGTATAGTTAACCTATAGCTCCAAATGCTCATTAGTGGTCGAGAATCATTTAATTTGAGACCTTCAATATTACGAAAAATTGCCAGACTTGTCTGCTCTGAGGTTTCTTGTACTTATTTTCAATCTCCCTTTTACCCACCTCAGCCGCCTCCTTATAAGCAGTTTAAATGACCGTTTACGTTTTCTTAGCACCATTCTTTGACACACCAGTTCCGCCGGTTGTCAACAAACTGATCTAGCACTTTGGTATTTACACTTTTCTGTCTTTCTCCTAGTCAGAAGTGTGTGCACTTTCCAGCATGGCCACGGTAGACTTCGGATTTTTCTCGCGACGAAACGCGGCGATAGTTTTTTTTTTTTGATATTTTATTTTAAATATGCATGAAGCAATTTCTTTAAGGTACTGGGGAAATCGTGCAAACCGATTCCGATAATGATTTTTGGTTTTCTTTTTGCTAACAAAAAATATCATTGGAAGAAGTATTGTTTTGTGCTGATGATTGTGATTGGCGTGGCTCTGTTCCTGTACAAAGAAAAAGCGGCCGGCGTG